GACACTATGGACAGCCCACTTGTCTGGAATGGTACAGAATTTCCTGCCTGAGCAGGGGGTTGGACTAGAAGACCTCCAAAGTCCCTTCCAACTCTATTCTGTAACAAACCATTATTAATGTCAGTTTAATTCATGTGTGGATCTGATCTTTCGTGCCTGACACTTATAGACAGAGAATCAAATGTGCTAATTTAATTTGTGCCCATTGACACATTTAATGTCCTTAAAATCTAAATTAACTGTTTTAATTTAAACTGTCAAAATAATGTTTCAGGAATAATATACCTGAACATAAATGTTATTCTTGCTTGGTTTGTTTCTATGATCTTCATTTTTTATATATAGAACGATGTATAAATAAGTAGTTTTGCCATGTGTGTGAACCTGAGTAGTTTCCAGCTCAAACATTTTTTTAAAGTCTGTTGATATAAAGAATGAAATACTTTGGGGAACAATTAGAACAGATTAATTCAGATAATTAGGTGTAGATGTTTCTCTGATTTTTAAAGATACACGTATTTAATTATTTTTAGTAAAGTATGCATATTTTTATATTTAATTAACATTTTTAGAAAGAGCAATAAGAGTACAAAATAGAAAAAATAAAAGGAAGGGAAAAAAATGCAAAGAATCCCTCTCCTTTATGTAAATGACTTCCCATCCTCATCACAAGTATAAAGAATTTCATAATCTCTTCACCCCTCTTGTTAATAAATATAAAGCTCTTCATCCCATAACCCATCTCTTAGTAATAAACAAATCAAATAACTAACCTTTTCTTATCCAATTGCCAGCAAAAAGTCCAAACAGAGCTTTAAAATATTAAAATTAATTAACAAATATAAAACAACTTTCCCAAAGATATGCATATTAATAATATTTTATAACACCTGTATGCCACCCAATTCTCAATGACTCTGGGTGGCTTACACTATAGAAATTACAATATAAAATACTTTTACCATTTAGTAAATGGTAAAAGTAAAATATGGCAATAACTATTTCTTTTGCTATTGTTAGATTACAAATATTTTTTTTTAATTTTGAACAAGACACTTAATAATAGGAAAAAAATAATCTTTAGGAGATGGAAAAAGCTAGATTAATTCCAGATATAAAATTCCAGATATAAAGAATCAGATTTCAGAGATGAGTGATTTAGCAATTTTTGAGAAAATTGTATATTCTGAGAAAGCAATAAAAGATGCCTTGATTGCATTGGAAATTGATTATTTTCTCCATCTTTTAACATAAAGTAAATTTAGACTTTTCCTGAGCCGAGATCAATTTCTGGTCACTCCATGGATATCTTTCTAGAATTTTCTGGCAATAATAAGTTGACACATGTCTCCACTGAGTCAGCTGGCTTCTTTGCAATTTTGTCTTGAAATAGTTTCTTGTTAGGACCACAGTTTGATTTAGTGCAGTATTTTAAAGATGACAGGATTGAAAGCCAAAATCACCTGGCCTGTGTATCTGTTGACATTTTCAGGGTTAGATGTTATATTACTAAATATTATAAAATAATGCATTGGTCAAATATTGTCATAAAGATAACTGAACTGTAATAAGAAGTGATTTAATTGCTAAGAAGGTGAAGGTGTTAGAACTGTTAGGATTTAATATGTTAAATTAATAGAATACTCATTTAGCTGTAGTGGATTAATCAGAAGAGGCAAATTTGCATTGACCAAGGTCATTTTAATCCCGAAGCTGACACGTAATAACCAGCTTTGTTTGTTGAGTGAGATCATTCTGGTTCTGATGTGCTGGAAATTGAGAAGGAAGTGTTAAATATGAACTTATTTTCTGAATGTCAACTTCAGTTTATTAAACTGGGAAGTAGGTTTTCTCTACTTTAGTGATGTCATGACCCCACAAAACAATAAAAAGTGTACTCCTCATGAGTCAATGGAACATTCCCCGTGATATGAGAAATAATCATATCTCTTCTCCAAAGTTATGCGACTTACGTCATATTGTCTTCAGTCAGGCTTACTTTTATCAGCTCCGTCAGTAAGACGAGTCATATTTACCTTTTCTCTTCCATGCATTTCAAAAGTTTGAAATACAAAATAACAGATAAAAACGCTAAATCCCACGCACTCTGTGGGTGCTCCAGAGCAGGGGTGAAATTCAGCCAGTTCTAACCGGCTCGGGAGAACCGGTAGCGGTGGCTGCGAGAGGCTCTCCCTACCTGCGCGGACATCATGCTGTTGCTTTTTTGTGACATTTTAAGCCTCTGCACATGCACAGAAGGCTTTGCGCATGCAAATGACACAGATGACACCATGCAAACATTGGCGAACCTGTAGGGAAGGTACCGTATTTTTTGGAGTACAAGACTCACTTTTTCCCCCCCTAAAAGAGGGTGGAAATGTTGGTGCGTCTTACACACTGAATACAGTCATTTTTGGCCTCCCGAAGCCCCATCCCGTTTGTCCCATTTTTCGCAAAAACAGGGTGCGCAGAGGGTTTGGGAGGCCTGCAGAGTGCTCCTAGGGGCTGGGGAGGGCAAAAGGAGTTTCAAATTGTCTCGGTTTTGCAATTAAGCAGGCATTTATATGTAGCTGATCGACTTAGTGGGAGGATGTCTTGCTGGTAAGCTGACAAACCTAAAATGATAGCAACTGTAACAATAGTATTGTAGATACCTACAAGTTGAGAAGATTTTTGAGGAAGTTCTACTGCCCATCAAAACTAACATACTGTATGAGAGATGATGGAGAGGCTGAAAAGTAAGTGAAAAGAGCAGTAGGCATGAACAACGATCAAAGTTTTGTCAACAATGGGAAAGATTATAGACGAAACATGGTAGAACAAATTAAGTGATAGGCTAGACCAGTGATGGCTAACCTTTTTGCTGTCACGTGCCATGAGTGGGGAAAGCGGGGTGTGTGTCACGCACGTGTGTGTGCCCACACCCATAATTCAATGCTCCCGCGCCTTTTTCCCCCCCCCCCCCCCCATGCACGTGTGGACCCCCCACGTTCCCCACACTTTTGGCACGTGATGGCAAAAGGGTTACCGGTGGGCCCGGTAGGCCTGTTATTTTGCCCTCCCCAGGCTCCAGAGCCTTTCTGGGAGCCTGGGGAGGGCAAAAACAGCCTCCCCCACCCCCCAGAGGCCTTCCAGAGGCCAGAAACGAAAATAAACAGAAGGCCCGAAAACGGAAGGCCCAAAAATAAGCTGGAGCTGAGCTAGGGCAACGCTCATGTGCCCGTAAATATGGCTCCATGTGCCACCTGTGGCATGCGTGCCATAGGCTCACCATCACCAGGCTAGACGCTGAAGGTACTTTACTAAATTGTTGATCAGTTGTGAAGTTTTTTGCGTAAAACTAAGCAAGCCTTATCTTTCAAACTGAAGCGCACATTTGTGTAAAAACAAGTGCAAAACTACTCAGGATTTTAAAATAATATTAACATTGGAACAGGAAGGGTCTCTTTCAAATTGTTAAGTTTCAGACTAACATCTGTAAAGGCCTCCGGATATTATGCCAGTCTAGTTTAAGTAAACCTCACTGCATCAGATAACAAGGATTTGCCAGAAATAGACTTAGGCACATGTAAAAATACATTTTTTGAGTAAAATCACATCCTATGCTGTTTTAAAGAGATATTTAAGTTGTCCCTTTTTCAGGAAAGGAGGAGTTTATTTGGAATAAACACCTGATCTAAAGTGAGCCTCATGCCAGACTCCTTTGCCAAAAAAATACTTGCCCCAACTTTTTGTGCTAAATAACCCCTTTAAGAAAATATGGTTACCAGATGTTTGGAGAGGAGAGGAGAGAAGAAGAAAATTATAAGATTTCTAACAGGGCGCTTCTTTGATCCTTCGTGTTGATGGACCTCGTTTGTGATACCTTAGGATATTTCTTCCCTCAAAAATGACAGTGGAAGAAAAATAAATAGAGAGTAGAGTTTGATCTCAAATAATCTATCACAAAGATGTGTTCCTGCATCTATCAAGATGCAATCATTCTTAATGTGGGTTGAAGTGTCCTCATAATAAAAAACGTAAGAGCCTTGAAGCAAAATCTTCAGCTGATATATTGAGAAGAACATAGTGTGAAAACTATCCACAAACTAAAAGCCTTCAAGAATTAAAATTAGGCACATTTCAGATTAATTCATCCCAACTGGGAGCTTAGAACTGGCTGACACATTTCTCATGTCTTCAGTGCTTTTCTCAATTGTGGAAAATATGACATAATATCCATAAGAAGAAAACTGTTAACGTTTATATAAAAAAGGTCCATTATCATTGTAACTAGAAGCTGTTTGCTGAAGGCATGGCTTCCAAGTCTGGTTATAATCTTCTGGAAGTTCCCACTTCAGTTTTTTCACATCTGGAATCTCTAAATCCAATATTGGCTATAGCCCAAACATGATTCCACCTTTTACATGGTGGAAAATCTGGAAGTCTCCTGAGTTTTCCAAGAATATTTGCAAGCCTCTTTCACCATTTCTTTCTTCCATGACATTCAAATCTCTGCAAAAGACATAACAATTCTCTTTTTCCTACCTCCTTCTCCAGCAACAACCACAAGCATTCAAACGCTTATGGCCTATTCATATTTTATTTTGTAGAACCATAATATCCCCGAAAATAAGACCGAGTCTTATATTAATTTTTGCTCCAAAAGATGCATTAGGGCTTAGTTTTTGGTTAGGTCTTATTTTGGGGGGAAATACAGTACTAAATGCACCCATCTGGCAGACAATCTTAACTAGGGCTTATTTTGGGGGTAGGGTTTATATTACGAGCATCCCGAAAAGTCATGCTAGGACTTATTTTCCGGTTGGGTCTTATTTTTGGGGAAACTGTATTTCATTGTTTTGGAAATAACGAGGATGCTGTGTTTTGAAAATACAAAATATTCCAACAGTTATAAATATTCTTTAATGTAAATAATTTGTTAATATTCTACAAAAGAAAAAAAAATCACAAAAAAATGAGACTTTTTTTCAACCCATTCTTTTTTTCCCCCCCTTTAGGATATCAATTTTTTTCTACTTTTTGATGATAATCCCCAGTAACACCACTACGTTATACCCTATGAAAGGATCTCTTTTGGAGTCAGGTAAGTCAGATGCTAACTGGAGGTCAGGATTCAGAATATTCCTAGTTTATTAACATTATTTGTAAAAGTAATGCGTTTGTTTTATTATACCTGTTTCCCCCAAAATAAGACATCCTCTGATAATAAGTCCAATCGGGTTTTTGAGCGCATGCATGCAATAAGGCAAAGCGCTTATTTCAGGGTTCTAATAATATAAGACAAGGTCTTAATTTTGGGGAAACATGGTATTTGCAAATCGCCCAGTTAAAAGGACTCCTGGCAGTTAAAGGAAATTAAAAGGAAAAAAAAAAAAACTATAATGAAGCTACCAGGAACTTTTACAGAGAGGGAGAGGGGGGTGAAAAAAATGGCATTGAGAAGATGATAGCCATAACTTTAAGATAGTAAACCCAACTTTTATTTTTAAGAGGTAGGTAGATAGATAGGTAAACATTATTACTGTTTTTATTACCATATCTAATTTATGCATATGTACCTAACATTCTAATTATAATGTAATTAGAATGTTGTATGGGGCTTTGATCATGCAGCCAGAGCCGCCATCTTGATTTTTTTTGCATTCCTACCCTGTTTCCCCAAAAATAAGACCCAACCGGAAAATAAGCCCTAGCATGATTTTTCAGGATTCTCGTAACATAAGCCCTACCCCCAAAATAAGCCCCAGTTAAGATTGTCAGCCAGATGGATGCATTTAGTACCATATTTCCCCCAAAATAAGACCTAACCAGAAAATAAGCCCTGATGCATCTTTTGGAGCAAAAATTATATATAAGACCCGGTCTTATTTTTGGGGAAACACGGTACCAGCCACTCCCATGGCCTCTCCGGCTGAATAAATTTTTAAAAAGCTAAGGACTGGTTTTCATTTTATAAAACTTGCCATTGTGCCTAAATCACAATGAAATGAAGGGGATAAATGCTGAATAGAAAAGCAGTCTATAGTTTTATCTCCATGCAAAGCATCTTGCTATACTGTAGTATCCCGTGAAAAAGAACGACTGTAGAAAAACAAAGCAATGAAAAAAACGCTAAAATGTCCTAAGGGCTCGTCATCAATCATTGATTTAGTGGGTCAATGAAATGTATTTGATCCCCAACTGGATAAAATATACAGGGAAGCACAAAAAGTCATTGATCATTGTGAACTTAAAAGACATTTACAATTCTAGAGAAGGAATACTTTTGTTTCGAAAAAGAAAAGAGGAGGCATGTTGTTAAATTTGCTAGGCATGGATGAAATAAGCTAAGGATGGCATCAAGGTAAAAGAAATACAGGCAGTTCTCAACTTACAACTATTTGTTTAGTGACTATTCGGGGAATTCAGTACTCTGTAGGGGGTTGAAAAGAAGAAATATTCTTGTAAGAAACAAAAAGAACCGTCAGTAAAACCCTTCTTCTATCCATTGTCTTCCATGAAAGTAACATTTGATATGACAGGAAAAACCTAAGAATAAATTGAGTGTTTTGGGAATGAGATGTTTAGGAGATGCTGGCTAGGGAATTCTGGGAGTTGGAAGTCCACACATCTTAAAGTTTCTGGGGTTGAGAAACACCGATAAATGATAAAATAAGGAAAGACAAGGTCAAAATTAACGAGTCCTGAATGAAGGAGGTCAACACTGACCAGAAGAAAAAACATTGTGGTAACTCGGTAAGATAGAAAGAATGAATGAAGATCACTTAACAGAATGAATATATGGAGGGAAGGGGAATGGTAGAAAGGAAGGGGAAGATTGAGAATGTTGTGGCTGATGGAGTTGATGAGATCCAGTAAAAGAAAGAGAGGTTCAATGAATAAAAGGTGGTAATTGAAATGTATATAGTTGGTTTACAAGGACTGAGACTAGATGGGAAAGGACAATCAATGGAGTTGGTATAAACTATGGTAGATTTCCTTTCCTTCTCTCCTGTCTCCTGTCTTTAATTTCATTTGGATTTCACCACTGCCTTCCTTCCTTCTCATGCCGTTGCTTCTTACTTTACTGTTCCAAGCAGGATAAGCGAGCAGCGGGCGTCCTACAGTTTTTGACAAAGGTACAAATTAGTTTCTAAAGCAACTGCACGGAACATGAGCAAACATCAAATATATTTCTGTGACGGTGTCTTAAAAGTCATACTTTTAAAGCGTAAAAATTAACATTTAAAATGTTAGGGGAAAGCCGTGAATGAAAACAGATGCATCTTTGCATCCTTTTAAGAAAAAAATAAAATAAAATCTGTATATATATAAAAAAAGGTCCCACAGAGCAAGAACACTGCATTACAAACACAAAAAGCAAAAAAACGGAACTTGAAAAGATGTTTTAAATCTGCTGCGCTTAAAACCATTCATGGGGAATTCATTTGAAATCAAATGTATCAAAGCCCAATGGATGTACAAAATAAACAGCCCTGGTATATCTTGCATTTGATCTGTTTGTTGCTATGAAAATATTGACAAAAGGCGAACGAATGGGCTTCGTTTAGCTTTTATTATACTTGGCCAGTTCTGGAACCTTCCCCCCACCCCCACCCCCGGAAAGGCAACGCTCTTTCCAAATGTGAAGTTAACACATTCGCTGCAGGTCTGAAGCCAAAAGCCAAATGCAGTCCCGCAAAGGGCATTCTAGAAATCAGACGTAGAAATTGCCACTCTGCAAAAAAATATGCCCGTTGGCATTTCCTGAAGTCGTGTTTCTTTGCCCCTGAACCAGTGGTGAAATTCAAATTTTTTTACTACCAGTTCTGTGGGCGTGGCTTGGTGGGCGTGGCAGGGGAAGGATACTGCAAAATCCCCATTCCCTCCCCACTCCTGGGGGAAGGATACTGCAAAATCCCCATTCCTTCCCCACTCCTGGGGGAAGGATACCGCAAAATCCCCATTCCCTCCCCACTCCAGGGGAAGGATACTGCAAAATCCCCATTCCTACCCTACTCCTGGGGGAAGGATACTGCAAAATCCCCATTCCCATCCCACTCCAGGGCAAGGATACTGCAAAATCCCCATGATTGAGATGATTTCAAATACAGTAAGCAGGACAGGAGGATGTGCCCATAGTCCTTCCTTTTTCTTATTTGGTTAAGAGGCAAGTCATATAGCAAGAGGACTCTTCTGGAGCTTCTGCAAAGCTTCTGAATATCAATAGTAATTAGATTTATATACCACTTCATAGTGCTTTAAAGCCCCCTCTAAGCGGTTTACAGAGTCAGCATATTGCCCCCCAACAATCTGGGTCCTCATTTTACCCACCTCGGAAGGATGGTACTGCCTGAGTCAACCTGGAGCCAGTGAGGATTGAACTCCAGGCAGTGGGCAGAGTTAGTCTGCAATACTTGCATTCTAACCACTGCGCCATCACAGCTCCTATGCTCCCATGTTCTTTCTAGATCTCAGTGATGGCAGCCTGTGACTCCAAGGTGGGCAAGCGGTCCTTGAAACCATCCCCCATCTTTGTCCTGATGGACCCAAACAAAGGATTGAAGGTGCAATGCCTACAACAAAGTGGGAAGGAGGAGTGGGCTTGCCCTGTGGCTCATGGCAGTAGAAATTCAGAAATTTCTTCAACTTTGTGTGGGAAAAGTTGAGTCAGCTTCTCATGGCTACCAATAGTGAAGCTTACTGGAGGGCAGAACTCTGAAAGGGCACAGAACATTGCCCCAAAGAGTCGATGGATGGTTGGATGGATGGAGTAATGAACTGATGGAGCGATAGAGCGATGGACGAATAACAATAAACTGAAGTCCATCGTGACTCATGGATCTGACACTCCAGCAAGCACATCCAGCTCCAATCCTTCAAGCTTCATTTCTGCAAAGAACATCCTGGTGATTCTGCAACAAATTCCACCCTCTGCTCAACTCGCAGAAAGCAGCCTTCAAGTAGGATTGTGGTTGGATGCAGAGCTCAGGTTCTAAGGAATCCAGAAAGCCTGTGAAAAAAAACATTACTCTCCCTCTGCCCTGACCCCAAGAAATACCTGAGATGTCTTGAAAGTGAAGACCAGAAATATGACTAGTTCTATACTTATTTCCCTTGGAGGCCAGTGATTATGATTACTGGTGGATGTGAAGAGTTTAATCCAGCCTTGATTGTATTTTAGATGTTCTAAACATTTTGTAAGGTTTCTAGGGTATCCTGGAAAATTAGAACTTGACAGTTTATAAATGGAAGGAGGGAGGGAAGGAAGGAAGAAAAGGAAGGAAAATAAGGGAAGGGAAAGGAGGAAATGTGATAAACAGAACGGAGGGAAGGAAGGAAAGAAACGAAGGAAGGAAGGAATCAAAGAGTCACCTAACCAGTATATTTTTCTATTGAGCAGGTAATGTGCCATATGTAAATTCCAACTTCATTATGTTAACTAACTGAGACATTTTGTACAAAATATATGACCTTAAGATAGAACACTTCCTTAAAAGAAATACTGAAAGGAACTTCTATTTTTCGGCAGTGGTCTCTGATACAACATCATTTTGTTCTTATTTTCTCAAGAAATGAGCAGCGCTTGATTTTGAACGTAAATGAGCAAAAGGTAGAAAACATCTTTATGTGTGCTGCATTTTTATTTATTTTCTTTTATATATTAAATAAATTGGTAAAACATAAATCATGCAAGACAACAGATAAAATAGTAGGAATGGTAGATGATGGACAAAGATACACTTGTTTTCTTAAGCGCAAAATATCAGCACACTATTAAATCAACAAGGTAAAAACTGATGAGTACTGTGTTTCACCAAAAATAAGATCTCCCTGGATAATAAGCCCAATAGGGCTTTTGAGTGCATGCACTAAAATAAGCCCTCCCCGAAAATATTTAACCGCATGCACAGCCGGTCCCCCGGCTCTGGTTAGGGTTAGGGAGACAGAGCTGGAAATCAGGTAAGACAGCAAGAGGAGCTCCGTCTTGTTCCACACGCTCCAAAATAATAAGACCTCCCCAAAAATAAGGCCAAGCGCTTATTTCGGGGTTCAAAAAATATAAGACAGGGTCTTGTTTTCAGGGAAACACGGTATTTATTT